AGAAACCGGGTTTCGATACTCGTGGTGGGCAGAGCACAGATAGCCCATTGTGTAGCTTTGTGCATAACGTAAACAAACAAACATATTACGTATTGTGTCCACAACTCCTATTACGTAATTCTTGCCTATTATAAACTATGATAGGACGTATAAATTGAGTATTGCTTGGGTTTCAGAGGATGTACTGCACTACGGAACAAAGTTACGTGTATTAACTAACGTTCCGTAACGACGCCTACTTATCATCATGTTAGTTTTGTACACTAAAACATGAACTATATTAGAACGCGTCTACCTACATTTCATATAACATATACCTCCATTAAACTCAATTTCTTCGTGCATATATATATGTATCCCATATTTCTCGTGCTACTACGTTACGTGCACCACACGCGTATGTACGCAAGGTTGTGAAGAGATTTATCAATGTCTCTTCCAATTGTTTAGATATCAAAGTTAAAGGTACATTTTGTAGTTTAAGATCTTCGTCATTTTGACACTTGCTGGATTTTTTACTGGTTGTGTGTATGTGTCCGGGTGAAATTTAAACAAACATTAACCTCACCTGCCCCACCACTCTGTTGAATGTCAATACGATATTTGAAGAAGAGCGTCATACTTACCTATCGTCTTACTACATATTTTTGTTGCCTAGTGAAACACGAATTGTAGGTGGAGTTTACTAAACATCAATCAATCTCTCAGAATGTAACGGATGCCACGCCTCTTCCTGCAACAGTGTTACTTGACGAACGTCATTGTATGCATGACGAACTGTTCGTAATATGTTTTGAAGAAAAATATACTTCTGACTCAAAAGGCAATGAAAAGTAGTTTCCTCTTTAATAACAACTCTTTGTTTCACTATAAATCTTCATGTTAAAAACTATACCTATAGTTACAAAAAAAGAAAAGATACGGCGCATGCGTGTACTACATACACACCCTTCTGTAACATACATGCCACGGCATTAATTGTATAGAGGCAGTATCTGTGGGTTGTCCGTTATTCTACGTTGGCTGTTGGTGCCCCGGAGGCACGGTTTTTCTTATTTCTCCCGTCCAGATTAACTGAGGGTTGCATAAGAGGCTCGGCAGAGAGGCACTTAGCGCAGTGATTCCTGTGCAAGCCATGTCACTGAGCCCTAAACGCTCAACTTCGTTTTTTGTGACCGACATCCTGTGTCCACTCGAAGAGGGCTACAAGAAAGTCGCCGCTACTGTCGACGCGATTGGATTTCCTACAACATTAACCTTCGCAACATCAGTCTCATACCGTAACCACCAGCCTCAAGAAAGCATGAATGTGCCCGTGACCAATCCCTATATGGTTCCTCAACTGTCCCATCCCAACTCCTTCACGACCCAATATTGTAATGGTGCCGACTTCTCGCACTACGGTGATCACGTGCGTCAAACCGCGACTGGATGGTACGGAGCGCCCCCAGACCCGCGCTTCGCAAGTGAGTGTTAGTATTTTAGTTTTCGTTCACTTCTTTACTTACTGACCAGAATAAGAAGAAAAAATGAGAAATCTGTATAATAAAGAAAATAAAACCAGAAAAACACGTAACAGTTAAAACACAATGAGATTAAATCAAATAACTGAAATCAATTTCTTTATCGAGATGAAAGTATTGTTAGTTTCTTTACGAAGTTTACTTAAGTTCTCATGTTCCTCTTCTAACGTCCACTTAAGCACATTCCCTGATACTTTTATAAGATATTGCATGACTGAACAGTTATCAGTCCTGTTAGTAAGAGGTTTTGATTACTTGAAAGAGCTAGTCTACTACCAGCATTACTCTGGTAAGGAGTGAAGCTACTGAAGTTTCGTTAAGAACATTTGACAGCTTTTCACTGTAGAGTTATAGGGAGATGACAATAACCTATCACTTGTAGGGAGATGACAATAACCTATCACTTATAGGGAGATGACAATAACCTATCACTTATAGGGAGATGACAATAACCTATCACTTGTAGGGAGATGACAATAACCTATCACTTATAGGGAGATGACAATAACCTATCACTTATAGGGAGATGACAATAACCTATCACTTGTAGGGAGATGACAATAACCTATCAACATATAGGAACATGACAATAACCTATCACTTATAGGTACATGACAACAATCTATCACTTATAGGGACATGGCAATAACCTATCACTTATAGGGAGATGACAATAACCTATCACTTATAGGGACATGACAATAACCTATCACTTGTAGGGACATGACAATAACCTATCACTTATAGGTACATGACAATAACCTATCACTTATAGGGACATGACAATAACCTATCACTTATAGGAACATGACAATAACCTATCACTTATAGGGACATGACAATAACCTATCACTTATAGAGACATGACAATAACATACCACTCATAGGGACATGACAATAACCTATCATCTTCTTGCCACAGCGTCATATCCTAGTTCTGAACAAACATTCCTATTTGATGATCCTGACGAGCTTCCGAGATGGCTGTCGTTTCTGGTGGGTTTGTTTGCAAGATATGTCCTGAGAATCAAACAATCTTCACCCATTTCATTTCAGATCAAGGCTTCAGGATTCACTAAACGTAGAGGACCTTTTGCGTATGCGGAACTTGTTATTTTGAGCCCATCTCTTACTAAATTGTAATCCAAACAACACTTGGAGAAAGTTGAGTTTCTACCAAACTAAATATCATTAAGTTTTAAAGAAATATGATACGTTCTTCAGCTTATTAGAACAAAATAAATAAATAAATACCAAAAAGCTATTACGCAGCAAGTGACATACATCTGAGAAGTTTCAATTTAAAATTTCAAGTAATATGATACAGTTGGCGACCTACAAATGCTTACTTCATATAGCTTTATATCTTGTGCACAATGGCAAAATTGATGAGATGCACATTCCAAACGTTGAAAATATACATTACAATGTACCAGCTGCTTATTGGTAATCCTATAAACGATCCAAATGTCGATTATCGTCGTACAAATATGTGCCATTTGTGATTCTATTTTGTCGAGATGTTGCTTTTAATATTACATTAAAATCACAATGACATCTTACGCCTCTGGTAATTGGAAGTGATTGGGTTTTGATGGTAGCTTTTCGACTTAGCAACCTTCTTTCTTCAGTAGTTCCTTTTCTTCCCTGCCAAGTGGATGAGTTTGTATACTTATCCGATAATAGTTGACTTTCCTCAATAAGATAGGAATCTTCCCAGTGATCCACTCAGAAGTTGGTTAGAACTTTCTGTGGACTTTCTTGTTTTTTCCTACTAATACTTGTATTATGATGACAGTGAATGGTGTTGTTAACATTGTCAGCCGTGTTTCGTGGTTGCTTCTTTTGCTGTGATGGCTGAATTTCAGCTTGATGTTATTGTTCCAAAAACAGATGTTACGTTACTCAGAATGTTGGCGATTTCCAGAAGTTTCTATTTGTCTCAAGATGAACTTAGATGTTCAGCTTTTTCTAAAAGCAGCATCTGGCACCAGGAATACTTTTATCACAGATGTTAGGGTTTGAAACCTGAACCACTGTTTCCCTGCATTAATCTAGTCGCGTTATTTTTCAAGACTATTTATGTTTTACTTGCATTAATTAAGTCGCGTTATGTTACAAGTCTAAATCTGTTTTCCCTGCATTAATCTACTCGCGTTATGTTACAAGTCTAAATATGTTTTCCCTGCATTAACCTAGTCGCGTTATGTTTCAAGTCTAAATATGTTTTCCCTGCATTAATCTAGTCGCGTAATGTTAAAAGTCTAAATCTGTTTTCCCTACATTAATCTAGTCGCGTTATTTTTCAAGACTAAATCTGTTTCCCCGCATTCATCTAGTCGCGTTATGTTACAAGTTTAAATCTGTTTTCCCTGCATTAATCTAGTCGCGTTATTTTACAAGACTAAATCTGTTTTCCCTGCATTAATCTAGTCGCGTTATGTTAGAAGTCTAAATCTGTTTTCCCTGCATTAATCTAGTCGCGTTATTTTTCAAGACTAAATCTGTTTTCCCTGCATTAATCTAGTCGCGTTATTTTTCAAGATTAAATCTGTTTTCCCTGCATTAATCTAGTCGCGTTATGTTACAAGTCTAAATCTGTTTTCATTACATTAATCTAGTCGCGTTATGTTACAAGTCTAAATCTGTTTTCCCCGCATTCATCTAGTCGCGTTTATTTTAAGAATAAATCTGTTTTCCCTGCATTAATCTAGTCGCGTTATGTTACAAGTCTAAATCTGTTTCCCTGCATTAATCTAGTCGCGTTATGTTACAAGACTATTTATGTTTTACTTGCATTAATTAAGTCAAGTTATTTTGTAAAAGCTTGAATATGTTTTCTTGAATTAACAAAGTCGCATTTACGAAAGCTTAGACATGTTTTATCTACAGTAAATAATTTAGGGCATTGTGTTAATATCCTCTAATTTTACTCTTACCTCGAAGTTTAACAGTTTTCCTTATTCAGTTTTATTTTCTCCTGGTTTGCTGCTCAAATATAAATTAGAAATGGTAAGATCAATGTGAGGTTACACTGTTTTAATTTAGGGCAGTGTGTTATTATCCTCTAATTTTACTCTTACCTCGAAGTTTAACAGTTTTCCTTATTCAGTTTTATTTTCTCCTGGTATGCTGCTCAAATACAAATTAGAAATGGTAAGATCAATGTGAAGTTTTTAAATTTTATGTGAGAGAAGGTCAGATTGTTATCCCATGCCTGTGATAACTCAGAGATTGAAATTTTAGTATAGGGTATAATATAGGGTATATAGGGTGTATATTTGTGACACCATTTTTGTCTGCTGATTTATCCTAAAAAATTGAGAATTTGTTTGTTTGTTTCTAATTAAGCACAAAGCTACACAATGAGCTATCTGTGCTCTGCCCACCACGGATATCGAAGCCCGGTTTCTAGCGTTATAAGTCCGCAAACATAGCGCTGTCCTACTGTAAAGGAACACAAATATATATGTGTAGAGAGAGAAAAAATACTGGAGTGACTCTTTTATCACACGTAAATAAGAGAAGTTTTGGAAATGTAGAAAAGGAAGAAAGGCTCTCACCTTGGAAACATAATGCTCAGCCTAGAGTTACCCGAGAGTCAGCTCCTCCCTGATCCCCACCTGAACAGAAGATATGTTACGTGCTCTTACTAAGTGGTCTACGATACATTCACATCCAAAGTAAACACTAATAAAATTATTTACATACCAGATCGACTACGCAAAACACTGGCTAGTTGACCTGGTCAAAGCTAATATAATAAAAGAAATAAGAATATGCGTATAACTCACTTCATAATCTCACGTGACATGTCCGAATGGCTATAAATACGAAATATCATCTACAGTTTTAACCACAGTAAAAATATTCACACTTAAGATTTGTTGTTGTTGTTTGTTATTAAACAAAAAGCTACAGAAAGGGCTATCTATGCTCTGCCAACCACAGGCATCGAACCCCAGTGTCTAGCGGTATAAGTCCGCAGAGAAACCAATATGCCACATAGGGTCCTTTAAGGTTTAATGCACAAAACTCCACTTACCAATTCCGATGTTCTTGCCTTATGTCAGTGTTTCACCGTATCACAAACCACAATCAACGAATCAACACAAAATGAAAGACTATTCTCCAAGCGTCTTATGTCAGTATTTCACCGTATCACAAACCACAATCAACGAACCAACACAAAGCGAAAGAATATTCACTAAGTTCCTTATGTCAGTGTTTCACCGTATCACAAACCACAATCAACGAACCAACACAAAGTGAAAGACTATTCACCAAGTTCCTTATGTCAGTGTTTCACCGTAAAACCACAATCAACGAACCAACACAAAGTGAAAGACTATTCACCAAGTTTCATATGTCAGTGTTTCACCGTATCAAAAACCACAATCAACGAACCAACATAAGGTGAAAGACTATTCACCAAGTTTCATTATGTCAGTGTTTCACCGTATCACAAACCACAATCAACGAACCAACACAAAGTGTAAGACTATTCACCAAGTGTCTTATGTCAGTGTTTCACCGTATCACAAACCACAATCAACGAACCAAGACAAAATGAAAGACTATTCTCCAAGTGTCTTATGTCAGTGTTTCACCGTATCAAAAACCACAATCAACGAACCAACACAAAGTGTAAGACTATTTACCAAGTGTCTTATGTCAGTGTTTCACCGTAAAACCACAATCAACGAACCAACACAAAGCGAAAGAATATTCACTAAGTTCCTTATGTCAGTGTTTCACCGTATCACAAACCACAATCAACGAACAAACACAAAGTGTGAGACTATTCTCCAAGTTCCTTATGTCAGTGTTTCACCGTATCACAAACCACAATCAACGAACAAACACAAAGTGTGAGACTATTCTCCAAGTTCCTTATGTCAGTGTTTCACCGTATCACAAACCACAATCAACGAACAAACACAAAGTGTGAGACTATTCACCAAGTGTCTTATGTCAGTGTTTCACCGTAAAACCACAATCAACGAACCATCACAAAGTGAAAGACTATTCACCAAGTGAATATTGAATTGGTATGCAGATCAGTTTTTGAACATTATATAAATACCGTACGCCATACACTTATACCCGTCTACATTTCCTTCTCTGTTCTGGTGTTTAGTATGTCATAATAATTTTGACAGATGATTTATCCATATCTATGTACATATAATTGCAAATATTTATTTGAACCTCTAAATCAGTTAGATGTGGGTAAAATCCAGGATAGGCACATTGTCATTGCTGATTACGTACCTCAGTTGAACCGGGTTTCCTATTGGCCCATAATCTATGTTCAGAAAACCCTAACTTTTCAACACTTCCAATGATATACTCAGTATCCGTAACGGATTTAACGAAATAATATCCTTTGTTCACACTGCCACAGTTATTTCCATTTGCATGGAAGATGGAACTTTCTCTGCCCCCCCCCCCGTGGCACAGCGGTATGTCTGCGGACTTACAACGCTAGAATCCGGGTTTCGATACCCGTAGTGGGCAGAGCTCAGATAGCCCATTGTGTAGTTTTGTGCTTAACTACAAACAACAACAACACTTTGTCTGATAGTAATTCACATTCATATCTTTACCACCTCAAGTTTTCTCTCCAATAGTTAAAAAAGTAAGATATGACTCCTTAGTCACCTTATTCACTGTTTGATATCTAATTCCAACTACAGGATGTTGGGGGTTAACGATTTTAGCACGGCCATTATCTTGTATCGTCTTATCAGCTTCTTCTCCTCCGATCCTTTGTCTACAGCTAAATATTTACTTGGAGATTTGATCTCTGGATCAGCAGGGATGACGTTATTGTAAATTTTGCACTTGTCACTGCCTAATACTACAACTGTACATTTCTATATTATCACTTTACAGCTCAATGTGTGATATTGAGTAGTTGTACGATGAGTACAAGAGTATAGAACACGTGGATAAACTAAACCTACACATCATTGATAAGCCTCTCAAGAACTGGCCTGGCCAGAACATTAATGATCCAGTCTTTCCGGATCCTAGAGGTTAGCGTACTGTAGACACATACGTTAGCCATACCCAATTTCTGAACTTGAATTCTTACCACTGTGCCACTGGGATAACTGTAGTAAGTAGATTAATCCACTGTGCCACTGGGGAAGGGCAGGGATAACTGTAGTAAGTAGATTAATATACATTCTGGTGCACAGGAGATGTAACTACTTTTCAATATATCAGATATAAGTCTGTGGACTGTTTCCCTTTATATCATAGTGTGTACATGGTGATCATGCACTTTATAAACACCTGTTGGACATTTTGCACTGGTTAGTTGACCAGACCACTAGACTGAACGTAATATAACAACCATATATCTTTACCACGTCAAGTACTCGTCACAAATTAGCAAATAGCACATCGTTCAATTCTGCTCCTTGATCTGTATGCGTTTCTTAAAGTGATTCAAAGTCGGAAAACCAATGTGCAGCACAGTTGTCGCCAATGAGTATTATCTCTGTCCCATAATTAATTTTAACCAACACATTTTGATTACCTCTATTTAGTAGCACAAATGATTTGGTTTGTTTGCTTGTTTAAAGTTAAGCAAAGCTACACAATGGGATATCTGTGTTCTGCCCACCACGGGTATCGAAACACGGTTTCTAGCATTGAATTCCGTAGACATACCGCTGTGCCACTGGGAGGCTTTCAACAAGGAAAACACAATTTGGGGTTTTCTGTTGAAGTTTCACTGATGTGAATAGCTTCTCAGGATCATAAACGTAGTAAAAATGTACACCATCCTCAACATATATAAAGGATTGCATCCAGTATTGGTTTGGTTTGAATTTCGCGCAAAAATACACAAGGGCTATCTGCGCTTCGTCCCTAATTTAGCAGTGATAGACTAGAGGGAAGGCAACTAGTCATCACCACCCACCGCCAACTCTTGGGCTACTCTTTTATCAACCAATAGTGGGATTGACCGTCACATTATATAGTCCCCACGGCTGAAAGGGCGAGCGTATTCGGTGATGGGATTCGAACCCGCGATCATAAGATTGCGAATCGAGCGCCTTAATCATCAGGCTGCATTCAGTATAAGCACCATTGTAGGTTGGCTGTAATGTGTGTGAAACAACCTGGTGCCCTGCGTTTCTTCTACCATGTAATGTTAGGAGAAGCTTCTTCATTCAGAAGCACTAATTGGGTCATTGTATGTACTCCATGTTCGTGCATATGTAGCTATTATAAATAACCCACCCTTGTGCCTATAATTGTTCATACAATTGGCGGAGCTTACAAACTTCTGCACTGTGTTTACCTGGGATCTCTCTCTCCGAATTACTCCCATATGATATTTTATCATCCATGGGATCTCTCTCTCCGAATTACTCCCATATGATATTTTATCATCCATGGGATCTCTCTCTCCGAATTACTCCCATATGATATTTTATCATCCATGGGATTTCTCTCCAAATGACTCCTGTATAATATCGTATCCTTGAAATTTGCCTACAGATTTTATTACACACGAGAAACTACTCAGCTAATTAACAACCTATATTATGAAAAACTATAACTATTTTATTTTATTACAAAACGAACTGCAGGTTATATACATAGAGGTGTACTATATAACATTACAATTAGGTAACATTAATTATATTTACTGTTGAAAAATAAATACCTATCTTAATTCTATAACAACATTAGTGTGCCTACTGAATAATGATAATACACGTACTCGGAAGAATTCTGTTTTGTGTTCTACCAGTTCAAGCTTGCTATTGAATCAGTTTTTTAAAGCATTTTTAGCAATGAAACCTGAAGTGGACAACACAGATTAGATAAACTTTGGTAATGATGTAGAGATTTTGTATTTAAGCACATGTGTACATTTGAATTTTTTTTTATTCGTAACAGTTTCTCGTTTGATGGGCTCGTCTCCCGGAATGCCCATGTCCAACATGAACATGCCGACCTTCGGTACTTGTAGTGTAGCTACAGCAGCCGAGAACAAGGCAGTGGTTTCAGGGGTCCAGTTTCCACTGACGCAACGCCGTAAGCGGCGAGTCTTATTTACCCAAGCACAGGTGTACGAGTTAGAACGACGGTTCAAGCAGCAGAAATATCTGTCGGCCCCTGAAAGAGAACATCTGGCCGGTATGATCCATCTTACCCCCAATCAGGTGAAAATATGGTTTCAAAACCACCGCTACAAGTGTAAAAGACAGGCTAAAGAGAAGGCCATGGCTGAGCAGCAAACTCAACAGTCTCACCAGCATTCGCCAAGAAAAGTCGCCATACCCGTGCTGGTTAAGGACGGCAAGCCTTGTTCTACCAGTTCGGGAGACCACGACGGGACTTCTACCAACGGTAGTAATGCCAATGCTACCACAGAGCTTCAGTTATCTCAGCCACACCAAATACGGACCACCCTTCAAGGTTCATCGTACCTCGGCGATTTGTGTCCCACAAATATCGCAGTTGGCCGCTCTCACTTGATACCACAGCCCGCAGAGACTAATCCTAGCCCTGGTCTCACCTCTCATAACAGTTTAGATGGCTACGGTTCGCACAATGGGCTAGTGTCGAGCAGTGGTGCCTGTCCCACGTACCTCCAAATACAGGGTAGAACGTGGTAAAGAAATACAAACAAACACTTCACTGTGAAAGTTAGTATCACTAAATACACAGTTGACTGGTATGCTCCAGACACTTGCCAAACTTTTCAGGCTACAAAACAGTGCGTCTATGCGATCGGTCACAACTGTTAGATCCGCAAATAACCATCAAAACTCTCCATAAATGCTAGAGAAAAGATTACCTTCCGATTGATGGTAACCAACAGGTAAGTATTACAAACTATACATCCTTACTGCACGAGAAACTACAAAGTACGCGTGGTGAGAAGACCACCGTGATGGAGAAAGTTCGAAAATCAAGTGATCGTAGATTTAACTGTTTTCACACACCTCAATATTGCACTTAGAATCGAACAGATCCAGTTAAAGTTGCTAGATCGACAGCTTAATATTTATAAGAATACAGTATCACAGAAATCCTTATTTATCTTTCATATAACTCCTGTTCTACAGTGTAATTTATTTGTATTGATTTGTCTAAGCACATGGCGTGCGTGTGTAAACGAAACGTGACTCAATGTGCAAAATTTAAATGTTTGACCTATATGTATGTAGATATATATATTTGTGTATTATATCTATATTAAGATTTATGGAAGATTACCTCCTGCTTCACGTGTGTTTCTTTTCAAAGAACAACATTAACATATCTTATGCCACATGTCAACCAACCAGTAACAATATATGTACCAAGAAACAGTTATGTATATGTGTTTATACGACAGTTATAATGTATTCGAGACACACGTTATTTCATGTTGAAACATGCTGCATGTTGTATCTTATATTCACACGAAGGCATGAGAACACAGAACATTTAACTCTAAAGATGAAGTAAGATCTTTCTCGTGTTTGTATTTATTTTGTTTGTTTTATAGCAAAGCCATATTGGGCTCTCTACTCTGTTCACCGCGAGGAATCGAACCTCGGACTACTTTAGCGTTGTAACTCCGTAGATTTCCCGCTTTCCCATCGGGGATGTATTTATTGTCTGTCACGATTAAGTGTACGTATATATAAACTTTATTAGATCGTATTACATTAACAATGGTTACTAATATCTACTCCAAATATCGCTCATTTTTTATTTCTTCCACTATCATTTAACTAAAAGAATCAGATCTTACAGTGAAAATAACCAAGCTTCATATCTTATATTGAACAGAATCTTGCTTCATATCATACAGTTAGTAGAATCTAGCTTCAGATCTTACAGTGACAAGAATCTAGCTTCAGATCTTACAGTGACAAGAATCTAGCTTCAGATCTTACAGTGACTAGAAACTAGCTTCAGATCTTACAGTGACTAGAAACTAGCTTCAGATCTTACAGTGACTAGAAACTAGCTTC